AATTCAGATTCTTCAAAGAATTATTGTAGATAGTGATGGCTGTTGGCAGGAATTACCTCCTGTAGCAGTCTGTATTACATTGAATTTGAAGAAACTTCTGACTGAAGTTGGACTGAGAGTCCCTTTCTGAGGTAAACCAAATTTGAAGAATAATATAATGTAGTAATATAATGAATAAATAATCATCTGACATTTACAGTAGGGCTGCACCTTGATTATTTTAGTAATCAATTATTCTATTGATTATTCTGACGACTAATCAGATAAAAACTTTGGCACAGTCTACAGATTTTTCATTTAACTACTAAAGCATTTTTACACAATGTTTGACGTACATTAATAGAAGCAAATACACTAATAATTCCTAAAACTTTATTGTCTAAAATGTAATAACAGCATTACTGTTGATCATTTGTAGTTTATTGTTTGGATGCATTTGCAGCGAAAGAAATTCTCCTAACAAGATTAATTGTTTCAGCCCTAAATTACTCATGTTTTGATTGAACTCACAGTACAGGCTTGTTGATCAGACAGCTGCTGGAGCCGTGATAGCTGTGGGTCTTCCTCAGACCCTCCAGCAGCGCCAGCCGATACTCTGGACACACACACCACAGCGACCCCTTCCCCACCGACTGCAGCAAAACACACACGTACACTTTCATAACACATCTAGCTGGGTGATACATTTTTCCAGTAATTATTGTGATAAACAATAATATTGATATAATTTTATTGAATATAATTTTATGTGTAAAATTATATTCTATTTTCAAGTAATACAGTTGGACAACATGGCAGAAAAACACAAAATATAAGCCTGTCATATCAGTCAGTATTGATAATTGTTAACTGTTAGTTATTGATTAGTTTTTTATTTTAAATATCTGAAATACATATGACCTTTCCTGTTTTACCCACAGTTTTCACTTCACGTCATTGTTTTTTATTTTTAAGCAATTATGAGGCACAATGGCAGAACCTGGAACTGCTGCTGCCAAGTTACTCAGCTGGTTGTTGCTAGGTAACCGAAGAGCGAGTGAGTTGCTAGGTAACCAAAGAGCGAGTGATTTAGTTGATTCTGCTAACCTTACTGAGCTAGCTGTTGGAGGCTGAGCAGCTAAAGCCTTTCCTCTGTCTACATCCCCTAAAATGCTGTGCGGGTCAGTGAATGTATTGAAAACTAAACGCTGGAACTGGAGGATATTTAAAATCACCAAAATAAAACATGACAACAAAAAACAATAAATAAAATAGAAATAAAAAAACACAACTGAAACTATTAAATAAAATTATTATGATGTTTCTGTAAACTAAATTGCCCGTAGGCATGTCACGATAATAAATTTGGCTGGATGATAAATTGTCCAATGATATCCGATAATATTGTTGTCTTGAGACCATTTTAAAGTAACAAAATGATAATTACATAATAATTCAAGTTCAACCTTTCAAAGATCAATAAACTTTAATTTCAATGGAACTTTTAACATTTGAACTGGAAGACATTTTAAATATTCAAAAATAAGCAAACAAAACAAATAAAATGAATTACGAAGTCTCTGTAAACAATATTTCCCTTCATAAAAATGGTCTAGTTGAGACAAATCCATCAGACTGAAGACTTTTGTAATCCAGTTTTTGGTAGAAAGAGAGAAAGACGTGGCAAATTAAAATAATTTCAATGCAGTTCATTGATTTTGCGACAGGGTTACTTTCATATAATATAAACATTTGGACTCAGTCGTATAATTTCAACTGACTTTTGTGCACACACCTGGCTCTTGTCCCTCTGAATGCGACGGAAGCTCTTGCTCAGCGACAGGTTGTGTCTCACCGAGTTCCTCCAGCCGCCGGTGGCCGTCCTGTAGTATGGAAAGTTGCTCACGATCCACCCGTAGATGTCCTTCACCGGGAGCCTCTTCTGAGGAGAATCTTCTATCGCCATGAAGATGAGACTGCTGAAGGAGTACGGCGGCTTGGAGGAGGCCGCCGCCGCAGGAGGAGGAGGAGGAAGCTGCCCGGGCTGTTGCCGGGGTAACGGAGTCACTTTGGTCAGAGGCTGCAGGGGCAGCAGGTCGCCCCTCTGGTGCAGCCAGTTTAGACAGGTCAGATCATCCTGGTCGGACGTGTCCCAATGTCCCAAGCCGCGTCCTTCGAGGCACTGAGAGGCGGCGAGGTGTGAAACAGGAGAGGACGAACGAGCGGACTCCGCTGCAGCCGGAGACAGAGAGATGGGGGACGGAGGGAACGAGACGGGTGACAGAGGGAGAGACGGAGGTGAGGAGGTCAAGGTCAGAGAGCCTCCGAGAGCAGTGGGAGACGAGGAGAAAGGTGGCAGCGTGTGAGAGCTGTTCTTCATTTCTGTCAGATCCAGACTCATTCAGCTGCTTGGCTGCAAAATACAGAAATTCAGAAATACTTTACTGATCCCACATGCTGCTGTAGCTAGTTTTAATTCAAAATTATTAAAAATAAATGTTGTAGAGATGGTCATGGTAGTGGGCAGGAAAGATCTCCTGCAGCAGTTTGTATTGCAGCAAATACAAACTGAAGCCACTGACTAAAGATACTCTGTTTTTCTAAAACAATCTCATAAAATTACTCAGTGATGGCTTAAGCAAATATGGTAAAACAAAAATCAACTAACAGGTATCAAGCCAATGGAATGGAAAAAAAAAGAAGAGAAAAGGAAAGAAGAGAGAAAAAGTCATTTATTAATCCCACTGTGCAGAAATTCACTTGTTACAGTACACACACACACACACATATATAATATATATATATATATATATATATATATATATATATATACACACACATATATGTGTGTGTGTGTGTGTGCAAAGCAGGATATCTTTTTTAGATGTATTTGTAAAATGTATTAAATATATATTTTTGCAGTACTTTGTGTTAATCTAGCACCTAAAAATCCTCTGTTGTTTACATTAAAGTACCACTTTAAGAATCTTTTCTGATAATCCCAGGTTAGAACAGTAACATCATGGCCAGCCGTTCCCCTCTGATGAGCATCCTTTCTTTGTCCAAAGTCCAGACTCACGTTCCCATCAACTTAAACCTTGATCTTTAAAGATGCTGCGAAAATAAATTTATATGCTTCAGCCTAACCAGGACTATCATAAGCTGCATTTATGACGCTCTAAAACTTTGTATGAAGCCACATGGCTCTATTGTGGGGCAGGAGGCAAATGGCGGAACAATATAAAGTTTCATTTAGCTATACAAGAAAGCCGCCTTTCTCCTCACAGGTAACCCCCATGTCGGCGCTGTTCGCTCTTTAAAAAGCAAAAAAATAATTTTTTTACTCACCAGATACCAACAAAGATCAGTCAACCGGAGCTCGACTCTCATCAGAAGTCCAGCAGGTTCGGGAGGAATGTTTAAGGCAAAACCCGGACGGGTCAAAACGTGAAGAGTCGCAGCCGGACACCTCTTCCTCCGTGCCCTGTTGATATCTGCCGTAACCATGGAAACCGCAGAGAACGCTCTGCGTGCTGCGCGCTCCCGTGCGCAACCCCGCCGCAGTAACAAATAGGTGTAAAAAACTTTAAATATGGCTACAAACCGTAGGAAGAGTCATAATACAACCCCAACAAGAAAAGAAACGTTTTATTTTCTTTTCTCCAAAATGCCGGATTTGAATGGAAGGGATTTGTTTTCATTAAATCTAAAAGTAGAAGTAATCATTTAATTCAAAAATACTTTATTAATCCCAGAAAGAAATTAAATGTAACTTACATTGTGACATCTGATTTTCTTAAAAAAAAGAAAAAAAAGAAAAAAGAAGGTGCTGTAGATGCAGGCAGTGCACAGAAAGAGTCTCCTGTCGCAGTCAGTGTTACAGCGACAGTGACAAAACCTCAGGACAAATGTGACTTTCATGTCAGTCTAAATTGATTAATTCAGATCTTTTCGACGCTTTCATATGTGGTACCAAATTGGATCCTTATTCCCATATCTTGATACAACAGAAAAATTATAGGAGATAATCAAACATGCTGTTCCTGCAGCAAATCCAAGAAATACAGAGGCTGAATGAAGTACGATCGTCCAGCTAAAAACGTTTGAGTTTGTGAGGAAAAAAATAGAAATAAAATCATTTTTTCCTTTATTTCGAATGGGATAATGTTGATAAAACATGTAACTCAAAAACTGGACTCTGGAGCCTTATTTCCAAAGATGTTTTGTTGCTAATCTGAAACAATTTATTCATTTCCCTTTAGTTTGGGTGCTTTTGGTTTTCAGATGAGTGGAGAATGGATTCCAGGATGTCCATTGACTTTCCCTTAATTTGGATTGTCACTTCCCGTAAGCACTATAAAATCAAATTAGATTTTATTACATCTTTACAGGAGAAATATTAACACAGAGAAAAAAAGTAGATACACAAAGCTATATATTTGTTTATTTTTTTCATCACACAAAATCCAAACTTTATCATGCTTTGTCAAATGTAGATAAATAAAAAGAAAATAGGAGCTGGGCGTACCGTTTGGTTTAAACACTGAGAAACATGTCCAGAGACATGATACGAAAGCTAATCTGCACAGAATCAGATCTGATGTTAAAACCTTGGAGCCCTTTTAGTTGGGTGTTTAAAAAAAACAATAATTTACCAGCGTTACTTTACAACCAAGCAGCAGACAGAGGCGCTTCATTTCACACATTCTGCTCGTTTCGATGAAGCGGAAAAGCTTCGTAAATACGCTGCAGCTCAACACCAAACAAATGTTCTCCGTTTGTCAACAAAAACAGTAAAAGGGCGAGAGCACAAACAGTCTTAACCTTCTAACCTGACGGTCACCTGACTAAGTGAGACGTTAACCAGTAGATAATGATTGGCTGGAAGACGGCGGTTGCCACGGTAATGTAGAGACGGAGCTGATGCTTGGAGTTCGATCCCATTCCCATCGAATCCGAGGAGATGGAGGGCAGGATCTTCATTTTCAGAGATCGAACCTATGGGGTTTGTAATTAATTACAATTCAAAAACACTTTTTGCTGCTTCAATGTTGAATAAATAAATAGACATATAAACTAAACAACAAATACATTTATTGTATTTGATCTGTTATTTAACCATCAGATTGGTGCAAAGTTCAATCATACCCAGAGATGAGTGGATATACTTTAACTTTTTTGGGGGGGAAAAAATTACTTTTAGGATATTTTTACTTCAATGTACTTTTTAATTTCACTTCAGTAGTTTTATTATGAAGTATTGCTGCTCTTATTTGAGTAAAATTACTCAGTAATAACCCAGAGTTGTATTTGGACATAAGATTCCTTAAAACTTTTGCCCAGATTCTTACAAATTAAGGAATTTATTTAACAGAAAGCAGAGATTAGATTCTCAAAGAAACACCAGAAACTTAAGCTCTTTGATATTTTACATTAAACAGCTTGGCTTGATCTCAACAAGTGTTCGGTTTTCACATTATGCCCTCTAAGCAGGTTTAATCAATATACAAATGCAGTACCTGAAGCTGCCAGAAGAGGACACAGATTTCCTATTCATGTGAAATAGAAAACAAAAAAAAAACTGCTGGGTGAACGTAGAAAACTGCTGACAACTTTTAGGGAAGAGATGCACCGAATTTGTCCAGAGGTCAGTGGATTTTTTCCATTAAGCACATTAAAATACCATGTGTGTGTTTTTGTAAACAAAACAAAACAAAAAAAACCTGAACCTAAAGAAAATTATTTACCCTAAAGGGTAAAGTCCTTGCGGGACTCCATGTGACCCCATTTATAAATGCCAAGTCACAAAATGTAACCCGAGTCTGCCAAAAAAATCAAAACCCTTTCAGAATCACTTTTCCAACCAAAAATATTTATTACTTTTTCCTTTTCTCAGTATCAATGTTTTAGTTGCTTTCTGACAACAATACAAGAAAGTGAAGGAAAGCAGCTTTACAGTGCGTTCAGTCATATTAAAATGCAATAAATGTGACCAAAGTAAATCAGAGTTTAGCAAAATCATGTTGAAATCTGTCCATGTTGGTCGTTTAAGGGTTCTATCTTTATAATTTGTGCAAATTGCGACATTTTTGTGTAAATTTGGCATGAAAACCGTCTTGAATTTGCCCTCTTGAGGTTGAGGGATGGCTCCTGCCGCTGAATTTTCCAATTGGTTACAACATTTCAACTTGTCTGTATTGGCCACGCCCCCTGTGTCTCTTGGCTCCGCCCACTTTGGTGACATTTTTCAGTTATTGTCTGGTTGGTGGGTAAAACAACTTCTGTGTTATTATTATGTAATAACACTACAACTTGATTTAATTTTCTAAACACTTAAAATAATAGAATAGAGTTTGTATTTAGTGTTTAAGTCCATATTTAGTGTGGTAGGTGAAAATATTAATACTTACAATGAAGAACATCAGGGCACAAGAGGACCAGGCGAGGGCAACATAATAACCGTCGCTGCCAAACATTAAGCCACACAGCACCGTGAAGATCATTCTGGGTGGAAATACAAACACGCACAGTAATCAACGCATTTCAATAGAAATAATAACAGAACCAGGGCTGAAACTAACAATTATTTTAGTTATCAATTTTTCTGATGATCAATTAATCTGATTTTTAAAAATGGTATGTTTTGCAAACTTTTCATTTATAATTAAGTCTTTTTTATACAATATTAGAAACAAATTAAAATGCAAATGAACAAATAATTCAACTTCTTTTTAAAATAAGAAAATAAATATTTTATTCAGTAGTGTATCCTTTAGCTCAGGCCTTTATGTTTGACTTAACACCTTTATTTAGTTAACTAATATTGGATACCACACAGTGCCAACTTTGCATTATTTTGTCATTATTTACCGAATGACACTTCATGACAACTGTTATATTCATAAAGACTCCTTCATGTTCCTAACAGATGTTATGTCATGTCAGTCTTATGCACAACCCGTCAAATAAAGTGTTACCGCTAAAACTTTGCCACTTGAAGGATAAGTATAATTTAGACATGAATTTTACAGGTACCTGCAATTAAGAGATTATTATAGAACAGAAATCAGGTGGGATCCCTCTGTGGAAGTGAATGGTGTGATTCAAATTGTGATAAATTCATTCAGTGGAACAAAAATTAAAATCATTTCTACTCTATATCAAAAACTGATGATGAATAAACATTCGACTAAATACATAAAAGAAAAATGGGAATCAGAGCTTAACACGACAATTTCAGATGAAGATTGGTTAGATATGTGGAAAACACACCAGATTTCCACCAATTCGCGGATATGGAGGGAATTCACTTGGAAAAATCTAATACGATTTTTCATTACGCCTAAAGTCAAGAATAGATATAGCGGCACAAATTTGAGGTGTTGGAGGAATTGTGGATCAGTGAAAGCTGATCATGCACACATATTTTGGAACTGTCCTAAAATTGTCCAACTTTGGAAAAATGTGCATGAAACTGTGAAGAAGATTCTGGGATATGATATTCCTATGAACAGCATGGTACTGTATCTTTGCAATTTTAACAATATCAATTTAAGGGTGAAAGACAGGTACCTGATAAAGATAATGTTAATAGCTTGCAAGAAAGCTATTACAAGGAACTGGGGAAAGACAGACCCCCCTTGTCAAGAACAATGGACTGGAATAATAGAAGAAATCTACATTATGGAAAAACTGACACATCGATTGAGACTCCAGCAAACACAAATGGAAGAAAAGTGGATGAAATGGACAACATTCAAGACAAAAGACAGTGAGAACAAGTAAAGGAAAAACTAGATATACCAGATAGGACAAAACTTAAATAGAGGAACGGCTCTCAAGCAAAAGTTTTGTGTTGTGAGATTTTTAAAGTGGAATGTTCAGATATGTAAACAAATCTGAAAAATTTCAATAAACAGTTAAATAGAAAAAAAAACTTTGCCACTTGAGGAATTCTGGGTAGAAAATATTTACAAAAAATGTTTGACTTTCTTCATCTTAAATCTAAAATATATGTTTTCTTGTACAGTTTTGGCTCTGAGTGGGTTGTTCTTTAATCAAATCGCAGTTAACCATCGATTAATCGATTACTGAATTAGTTGACAATTATTTCAATAATTGATTAATTGTGATAATCGTTTCAGATCTGACTATAAAAGAAGTTATAATAGCGTTTTGATGGATACCTGATTTAATAAATTAAAATATGAGCATTAAAATATATATTTACCCAACATATTTGTAACCACTGTAGGCGATGAGGTCAAAGGTTGAAAGGTCGCTGTGTACGGTCAGCAGATACAAACTCAGCAACATGACCAGAACCTCGATGATGATCCAAACCAGGGCGGTGCTGGCACAGAGTCCCAGAACCTCTGGACTGAACCTGCACACAGTCAACAGACAAGATTAAGCTCATCTGACACAAAACCAGCATAAAAACAGTGAATAGAGAGAGAAATGTTCACCGTTTTTGAATACCAAGAGCCAT